GAACAAGTTTGATGCGGCTGAATTTGGCTGGAAATCTGATCGAGGATATATCTGATCCGGGGTGTTTCCTTTATATGACCTCTTTGGCTTATCTCGACCTGTCTTACAATCGCATTCAGAGAATCGGTAACAACGCTTTCGAGAGGCTCGAGGGTCTCGAATCACTTTTCTTACAGGTTCATTTGTTTTATTGTTATAATCCTCGACACTATTATATATATCACTATTATTATTATTATTATTATTATTATTATTATTATTATTATTATTGTTATTATTATTATTATCACAAAGTTGTCGACTTGATTGATGAAATGTTGTCGAATCGAATCGATAACTTCGATCGCCTGCTTCATTTTGTTGATTTCTAGGTGTTATTATTATTACGCTTAAATAATTTCAGAACAATGCTCTCCACGTATTTCCTGAGGTGCCTTTAAGCAGTCTGAATAAGTTACGCTATCTGCTACTGGACAGTAATCCGCTCGACTCAATCCCGTCGTCAGCCTTCCGGAAACTCGAAAAACTGGAACGACTAAGCATGAGTCGTACACTAATATCTTCTCTCGACAACGCTGCATTCCATTCACGATCGATTCCATCACTGAAATCGTTGAATCTTGCCTTTTGCCGTATCAATTTGATCGCATCGAAGACATTCTATCAAATTGACAGCTTGGAACAGGTGTTTATCAACGATAATCTAGTGGAGACGATCAATTCTATGGTATCCCTTAATTGTTATCATATTCTGATCATTCTTTATCATTCTCTTATCACTTATCACTATAGGCAATTGCCAGTTAAACCTCTATCAATGAGTGAAAGTCCTGAACTTCTTATTTGGTGATTTATCTTCCTGCGGATCTCAAAAACCCGTCGAATGCCTCAAATCGACAACGGATACTAGAATATCTGATCTTTTCAGGCGTTCGCTTCATTGCCATCCCTTCGCCAATTGGATCTATCCGGGAATCGTTTGAACGAGACTGCCGAAAGGTGTTTATATGATATACCTCAGCTGGAGTACCTATCGTTGGCGAGGAATAAACTGGAATCGCTAACAAAAGGATCTTTTATAAATCTGCTGAATCTGGAGCATTTCGACTTGAGTTTCAATCAGTTGAAAGCATTCGACTTCACTTTTCTACAGCAAACATCGAGTGGAATCAAATTTCTGGATCTATCACATAATTTCATCGAGAGGTTCGTGTGATTTCTGCTCGGTTTTGCCTATATTTGGGCTATATTCTGAACTTGAGACCCCTTAAATGCAATCAGAGTGGAGTAACGAGTCGAAATTAGCGATCATTAACATCTCGTTAATCCAGGATTTTATATCGTCGCTAAACTGTCTCCGCTAAGTTTCAGTTTCGATCTGAATGCCGTTAAGCGATCGTTAACCTCGTTGAATCTGTCGAATAATCGAATCCAAGCGATCGGCAAGGCAACAATGCAAGATTTCGATAAATTAGCGAAACTAGATCTATCCTTCAACCATCTGATCGAAATACAACCAACAGCATTCGTGGCATGTCCAAAACTAACCTTTCTCGATCTATCAAACAACCATTTGCGCACATTGTGGAAGGGCACGTTCGCTAATCAGGTGATAACATTAATAATAAGCTGATAAGGGCATTGCTAACTGTCTAATAATGATCTGATAATGCTCTGATCTACTGATAACAATAGTGATACTCTTATCAGGAGACTTATACGAGCTTATCACTGTCCAAAAATGCAATAATCGGTCTGGATTCGGATGCTTTCGGTGCGGATAATTTGTTTAATCTGGATTTATCCTACAATCAACTGAAAGCTGTGCCTCAACACGCGCTATCGTCGATTCGAAACAGTATCACAACCCTGAATCTCAAGGTTATTCTATCGTTACTTCGTTAGTTTCCAAGTTAGTTTCCATTTTGCAGGGTAATCGTATCAAATCGCTGCATGTGATGGATTTCTTTGCAATGAACAATTTAACCGAATTGATTTTGTCGGATAATTTGATCGATACTATTGAAGAGGCCGCATTCGCATCGTTATCGAAACTGACCAAACTGGATTTGAGTCATAATCCAGTGGTTACCTGGAATCCACATGCCTTTAAGGTTGGTAGTTAATTAGCGAATTATTAAACCTTAAGTAAGTATGGCTGGATTGCCGACAATACGGAAGGAAACTTGAGGTAGCAGGGGGCCTAGAGGTTGAGCTAAGGCTTATTCTAGGCCTTAGGACCTCTGGCTTAAGGCTTGCGATTCGACATATTTGAGAAATCCATTTCAGGAGTTGAGCCATACAATTGAGTCGTTGAATTTGGCCAATACGGGTCTGTTCTCGTTGCCAAAGATCACGAATCGTGGCTTACGGCATCTAAACATAAGCCAGTAAGTGGAATATTTCATTACGAATGCGAAAATTTTAAAATAATATGCATAGAATTCTTTTAGAATCTTCAAAATGAGCAGAATTTCTCGAGTTTTCCTTCAATTTATTTGGAAATTCAGCAATTTTTACAAGGTTTTCATTGGTATTCCATCTGAAAGTATTGTTTTCAGCAATAAGATCCACGAACTGAATCCGCAGGACTTGGCCAATTACAATAAACTGATCTCAATCGATATATCATATAATAATTTCCGTAAATTGGATCCGCAACTCTTCGAAACCATTCTGGAGTTGAAACATTTGAATATCAGTGGAAATCGATTCGAGCGGCTCTGTGAACGACACTTCGAGAACCTCTACAATGTAAATTTCTTAGGGAATTAGCCTGAAATCTCATGAATATCTCCGAAAATCTCGTCAAATTTCTCAAATTCCCGAAAATATTTCCCCAAAATCGGAAAATTCCCGCGAAAGTTGAATAAAAAGTTGCTCTCCAGTGGCAATAAAATTCATTCTAGTTGGAAACCCTGTCAATGACCGATCTGAAAGCACTGCAAAGACTTCCTGAACCTCGGGCTTTCCGTCATCTACGCCATCTTCGTAGCTTATTGGTAAGTTGATTGATTTCACATTGAAATGCTAGTCGTCTTATGTGGGTTCGATTCCAATTATTCGCAATTTTTGCAATATTCCATCAAATTTGATGTGTTTACTGTGAATTTCTGAACGTATTCCGGCTAGAAATTTACTTTTCAGATCCTATCAGAGCTGATAATAGTGATAAATCAATAACAACCGTGGTAATCTTAATGATAACAATGCAAATCATTATTCAGGTCTATAATTTACCATCTGTCATCCCGAAATCTTACAATATCTCCGAGATTCTGCGGCATCTACCTCCGTTAAGAAGCCTAGCTGTTGAAATCAAAGAGCCAATCCTAAGTAACCAATTGTATGCGGCTGATTTAAGGTTGCTTCGTCACATCACGATCACTGGAATGCATCTTAAAAAGGTTACTATTTTGGAATATACAGTTACTGTAATGATTATCATAGTGCTAAGGCAATGACAACAGTTCTACTGATAATTTGACACTGATAACGAAATGATAATAATAATAAGAGTAATGAACCCTTATCGACAACGATATCAGAGTATTTTCAGATAGACACAGGAGCATTTGCCTATATTCGTGGCTATAAAATTGATCTGACGGTTCGTGACACGCAATTGAAAGAATTCCCGTCATCTGTGTTCAATACGTTGACGAGTGTCAGCTTTTTGAGTTTATCTCTAATTAATAATCAAATCGAGTCAATCAATCCCTTTTCATACACAAAATCACCAGTGATCAACCAGCATGGAACGATCCTGCACGATATTAATTTAAAAGTTTGTATTTTCAATTAAAACCGTTATCAATTTTATTTTGTTTCGTTGCTTTTAGATGCATTCGTTGCCAGCAATGTCGAGATTGATAAAAATGATAGAAATTTTCTGACGACAGTGACAAAATGTTTGTGAGAAGAAGGCAAAAACCGAATTTCTTAAATAAACACTAATTTAAGAGACAATTTTTCAAGAAATATACATCAAGAAATAAAATTTATGGAACTTTTTTTGAGAAGACGAAACGTTTTTGAAAAATATTCATTTCAGGATAATCAAATTGAATGTGATTGTCGTTTAAAATGGCTCTCTACATGGCTGGAATATGCCCAAGGGGTTCACCGTCACAATTACGCACCCCTCAACGAAACAATTTGCTGGAATAAGGCTGGTGGTACCACAACTTTGTATGAATATTATTCAGATCGTAATAATTTACGAAAGTGTTTCACTGATAGCATAGGTGGTGTCCGCGACTCGTCCAGTGCTAGACGTCGAACTAATTTTGGAGCTTTAGCTTCTGGAGCCTCAGGTTTGGCCTCAGCTGTGAGTTTGGGCTTGGGCTTAGACCTGGAAATGGAATTGACCTCAAAATTTTCGATGGTTATGAAAGTAGTGACCTCAAAAAAATTCAAATTGTTCTGTTGTTGCAACTTAATTTGGAACTTTGCACTATTATTGTTGTTTTTTACATTTTCCTTGTTGTAGTGATTAAAAAACTTGTTATCAGAGGTGTTTGTGATGAAATTTGATAAAGAGAATAAGGCTGATAAATTTTTTTAAGTAAACTGAATTGTTATTGTTGTGATTTGGTGGAGGGTGATAAGGAATGAAGGGTATTATCGTTAGTAGAGATAATATTTCTGATAATTTTGATAACAATGATAACTGTACTGATAATTTTGGTGATAATTCTGATAAGAATGTAAATGATATCGATTTATCAATGTGTTGCAATACGATAGTAATGTTAAATTATTGATGTGACTGCATAGTGCGTTATTGCATTGAAATTATTGTTCTGTTTGTGTATATATTGATGTAATAAAGTTAATTGATGCATGAAATTGTTTGTTTATTTCCGAACTGAATCAATTCTAATGAAAAATATTGATATTTCTCGCCTTTAATCAATCCAATCTCAAAGGAATTCATCATTTGAGTCATCTCTGAGCTGTGCGCTACTTACGAATCGAAGTGCCGTCTCAAACCCACGGCTCTTTTTGCGCTTTGTGATGAATCTTGATGATCACCAACTCAAGATGAATGCGATGTGAATATAATTCCAGCCAACAATTCATCAAAAAACAATCGAACTCTAATTGATATTCACAAATTATATTCGTTTCATCACTGCGATACACTTCAGCTTCATGAATCATATCAATTAATCTTGAATCGAACGAATTTACTTTTGATCAAATCTCGATTAAATGTTTTTTGTTTGCATTGTGGTAATCTTCAATCGGAATTCTCCTCATTCTCTTCATCTGATAACTGAATTCGCATAAATTGATCACACGATATTTGAATTAAGCATCAGATTAGGAGCAGATACAGCCGTGGGGATATGATATCAGTGGATCAGGCCTTCGGCTTCAGTTCACGTTTAAGAAAGCTAGAGTGGGCGAAAAATTTCGCTGAAATGAGCCCGAATCTTATTTAGGATTACACTCTTGAAGAAAACTTCACTAACCAGGTTTAATCTAGCACAGATCATGAATAGAGGATTATGATTTTCAATTGGATGCTATTAGTAAGGTAAATGGGATCGTATTTCAGATTTCATAATCGATTTAGATCGGATCTTTTAGTCAGATTGATTAAAAAATGAGTTGGAATAATTTATAGTGGGTCATAAATGTGGTGATTGTTGAGATAAGTGCTTTTGATTAATACATTTAATCAAACTCGATTAAATTAATCGAACACATTAAATATTTTTCGTCGTGTGAACAGAATTTGATTGAAATATTATTTCATTTGCTTGCAGTTGGCATAAGAAGAGCTTAAGATCTGATTTTTTTCTGATCAGACATCGTCTGAGGTCATATTGATGATTCAGATGGGATTAGTAATTGTAAGGATGTTTGTAGATAGTTGTGTAGATATCCCGATTTGATTGACAAATTTTTAGAATCTTTTTTATAGGATTTTATCAGAATTTCAGCAGAAATTCTGTTAAAATTGCTCAACAGAAAGATCAAATGGTTACAGTTTGGCAGTAGAATGAAATCGTTCAGCTGAACGATATACCGTTAAAAATTAGGCCATATCTTTTAAACTAGGCAAAATCGCTCGATAGAATATATATTATTCTGAAAGCTGAGAATCTCAGCTATCCAATACTGAAGAGAAATCATATCCTTACTAATCAAATCTGAGCAGACAAGTAGCCTGAATGTGGTATCCCATCTGTAGATTCCCATAACAAGGAAGCACCTTCATAAAATCAGCTATAGCTACACTTTTCTTGTAGTTCATGACCTCTTGCATCAAAATATCATAAAGGGGCCCTCAGGAAGATTTAAACTTATTGATAAGCTGAGCAAAGTACATTTAGTTCACTGATCGCATGTGGCAAAACGTATTGACTTTGCCCGGAATTGAACCTGCGACCCTCAGTGCATTAGGGGTACAGCAATGCTTGAATTCTTGATCTGGAGGCATTTTTCTCACGTCAGGTCTCTCGAAATGCCATAATTTTGTATTTTTTGTGATGCACTCATCAAGCCGAGTCGATTGGTACCAAATTTATCGAAAAAGGAGCAAAAAAATTTTTCCGCGAAAAACCCTGATCAAACCCCTTACGATCTCGAAATCCGGATTTTCGAGATATCATATCTCAGCTATGGATTGACATTTCGAGACGATCTAAGCGGCTTTGAGGTGATCTCGGCCGTCTGAATAAGAATATTATATGAATCATTGCGATACGCCAGCGGAAACCTGCGTTTCGACACCCCCAAAACCGCAAAAATCGTCATTTCAGGATTTTCGGCCGATGGAGTCTTTTTTTTTAATTTCACAAATTTTAAACCAATCGAGCCAGAATGAGGCCCTGAGTACGATGAAACATGAATAAGCACTCTATTTGTAATCATTCTCCTGCTATGACCCCAAAATGTGAAATTTATGATTGCTCAGCAAGAAGATCAAATGGTTACAGTTTGGCGGTGATATACTGTTAAAGATTAGGCCATAACTTTTGGACTAGGCAAAATCACTCAACAGAATATATAATATTCTGAAAGCTGAGAATCTCCGCTATCTGATTGTGTCAACAAGTCATATCCTCACTGATCAAATCTGAGCATTCCGGTAGCCTGAATGCGGTACCCGTGGCATGCTCAATGCAGATGCGTCGTACAAAATATGACGGTGTTATAGAATCACTCCGTATTGCGATAAATACTTATAAATTAGACATTACCTCCGATACAAATCGTTCTCTTCAAAAAATATCCAATTCCTTTCTAAATCCCAATCATATTCGTTCAAATCTGTCAAAACCAAACAAGTTCTCTGCCAAGATCAAATGCTACCAATCAAATCTTAGTGCAATCCTCTTCCTCATCGATGATTTAATGTTCCGAACTCAAAAATTTCTCCCGATTGATATTGATAAGCCTTATGCGATGATTGAATTGTACTTCACCTCATAATCACTTCAACTTCATCACTTGATACAATGAAATTTCGAACAAATGCTTTTTTACATCATGTGGGAAGTGGTTGATAGTACACTCATGAGTGATGGATTTGTACCAGAACCAATTAGATTACTGATAAGCTTATCACTACGGTATATGGTTATCACTTGGCGTTATCATTAGTCGTGTAGCTTGCGCTGATAAGCGTTTAGATTGGATAATAATGAAAGCTTGCGAAATGTGCACTGTTTTTGTGTTTTGACATCGATTTTGAGTCTTGTGATCATTACTCAATTGCACGACGACTCAAAACTGATTATGAACGGAAGCCAAAACAACTGCGAGGACGCAAATGAATACTCAAGACTGATGACACTAGCATAATTCCTATGCAACACCTTCTGAAAAACGAAAGCCTAGGTGGCGAACTCGTGAAATGAATTAATTATTCATTAATCCCATTGGGTGGTAACCGAAAAATTTGAATGAATATTAATGATCTGTCAGTGCTGATCCATGATCAATCTACTACCGAAATAACTTCAGATGTTATGTTTTTCTTAAAGTCTGAAATCCTGGAAGCCAGGAATCCTGAAATCCTGTCCTAAATCCTTCAACTACGAGATAAACAATTTGCAGGAGATAAACAATCTTGCGATCGGAATTCAAAAGTCCAGATTTACGTATGGGATGGCGTGCTGCAGACACAAATCTAAAATTATCACATCGTCACTTACTCAACGCTTGTTGAACTCTTCATAATTGATTACAGTGAGCGCAAGATTCAATTAATTTTATCAAATCGGTGAAATTGTTTAAGAAATAATAAACTGCGCCAGTGATATATTGCCGAGAGTTGAGACTGAACAGGAAATCGCATTTGCTCGTAGGCTGATGATATTAGATCAACGAGAGTATAAAACATGTCGGTTTGCGTCCAAAGATTCCTCACATTTTCTAGCCGTTTGATTAGAGCTTTCGGCTTCAGGTTGCTGTAGCACAGAGCGAAGCTGAGCTGAGCTGGCCTCAGCAGTTCAATTGCCGTATCATATAAGCGCTGAGAAAGAGTCGAGAGTTATCGTTGATGTTTGATTGTATTGTATTGCTGATTTGCTGCTGCTGCTACTGATAAGATTAATTTGATCAGTTTATCAATTGCTGATCAAATTACTGATTATTGTGTTGTTATCACATCATCTCATTATATCATTCTTCACCAATTCATTCATTTCGTAACTCAACTCAACCAGCAGCTTCCTCTCAGAATATTTCCATCCAGACAAATTATTCCTAAGCTTTCAATTACATTTTCTACGAATATTCAGCAGCAGTTCATATTTGTATTCTATTCAGCAGCTGATAAGAATCAGCTATCTGTACTCTGTAATTAACCGAGCTGATAATAGACACTAATAAGGAATTTGATTACTGTGTGTCTCATCGAACGTAATTCAGGTATGTGATTACATGCATCCTTATCTCTAGTAGATCAAAATTTTTATGCTAATCATGACTGCAGAGCATTATATCAGATCAGTTCAGTGCCTTGAATACTTCTCTAGTATTGAGACCATTTTTAAGGGTTTCGTTTCCTGTTCCAGGGCTAATATTGTCTCGTTTTTGAGGCTCAGACTGCACTCAAGCGTCAAGGACCTTCCCTAAGGTCTTAGATTCTTTGTAGCTCTTCATTTTTGATCCCTAAACTTCCCTACCGAGAGACACATCGTCTAGGTCCTTCCTTTAAGGCCTGCGATTCTTTGCCGCGGTTCCTTCATAAACCTGAAACTTCCTTCCCAATGGCTCCGATCTATTTCCTCGGAATTGAAATCTGCTTCCAAAAAACTCACATTTCCAGACTCTATGCGAAACTTTACGAATACTGCGATGCAAAGCATTGAACAAATAGATAAAAACTAAACCTCGATAAGAAATTAATCAAGTAACAAGCAGACAAATTGTTTTGTAATCAAACAAAGGTAATTTCTAATATAAGATTGATGAACATGCACACTGTTTTGAATGTTATTTGCTTTTTCCTCTTTCAGTACAGTAAAGAGGATCGAATTGATCGTTTGCGATCATCACAATAAAATTTATTATTTCAATCCACACCAAAATGATCTATTCTCCAATTCCGATGACCAATCAAAACTTCTTTAACGAATAACAACATTCATTCTCTTTTAAAGGTTCATTTTGAAAGATCCAAATTGAAATGCCTAGGTTTCGAAACAATATTCTGATTCATCTAGCACAAATTATCATTGAAATTATTGATGTTGCTGTTGACAATCTCAAAAACTTTCAGATGTTATTCACACTTCTCGCAAGATTAGCCTTCGAAGGTGTGAGACTTTGCGGTCTCGATGAAGAACCACGAACAATCGACGAGTGTAAACGTGCATGCATTGAGAACGGATGTGCTGGATTCACGCATTTCCCGAATAATTTGACGTGTACGCTGTATTCAAGTATTCGAGGTGCGAGACTGTTCGATGGCACTTGTGTGGACAGTTATTTGTTTATGGATAGACGCCGGTGTCCAGAAGAGGAAGGAGAAAAGGATCTCTATGGATGTATTACGCCGGATTGCAATCGCAACGCAAAGAGGAGACGTCCTCTGGCTCGATTTGGGAATACTTCATCGACGAGTCGAGAAGCTGACAATAATAATATTAATAATAATAATAGTGACAGTTGGGTACCTCAAGGTGGCGGTATTACAGAGGGAAAGAGCAATGGAAATAACAGCAGTTCAGGTGAGACATGGCGTGGAACTGTAGTACTCTCACCGTACAATAGAGCAGGGACTAGGACTGGCCACAGGACTCCAGACACTAGAACAACGGGCACGAAGGCGAAGCCAAAGGCGCGTCCGGGTTCAGTCTCGACTTTGAAATCAGGTGAGCAACCCAGGGCAGGTGGTCAAGGCGGCCGAGTTCAGGGTTCCGGTCCAGGCTCGATTTCTAGATCGGGTGAGCAACCCGGGGCAGATAGACAAGGCTGGACTCAA